AGGACAGGGAAGGACAGGGAAGGACAGGGAAGGACAGGGCAGGGCAGGGCAGGGAAGGGAAGGGAAGGGAAGGAAGGAAAGAAAGAAAGTAAAGAAAGTAAAGAAAGGAAAGAAAGGAAAGAACTTGCACAGGCTCTGAAGCCTGCCCAAGTTTAGCTACTTCACCAGTTTGCGTTCCTGGGTGATCCTTTGTCCATATCTTTCTCACAACCCTTCAGGTGTTCATGAGAGAACTCTGTTTTTGACAGGTCGTGGAGCTTTTGCTTGATGCCAAGGCGCGGTGTAAGAGGGAGGAATCCTTAGTCACAGATGTCAAAGGTCCAAGGTTCTCCTCGTTGGCGGATTTCCCATCATTTCAGCAAGTTGAAAAGTCAAAGGCTACTTTATGGATCAAATACAAACCCTATGGCGGTGGGTGCCGCTAACAGTAATCAGGCAAGGCATAAACTTGCATATCGTGCCCCTCCACTTTGAAAGAAAAAATACGTTGCAAATTCATGTTGCCAAGCTTGCTGATCGGTGAATTGATTCACCAGTCCGGATGTCATTTCCTTCGAAGACCGAATCTTGTGCGTTGACAGGCCCCTTTGGCAGCCAAGGACCTCAATCAGCAGACCGCGGGAAAGCTTAGCAGGGAAAGGCGACCCTTTAGGACGAAACAAGAAACCACGAATCTCAAAAGCTTGAACGCACAAGAATCATGGAAATCACTAGGACTACTAGGATTGTCCAGCCATAGTGCCAAGCTTTTGCATGGGACGGAGGGAGGTGGTGGGGGACCTTGATCGTCCTTGACTGCCATATTCTACTAGACAGATCCATGATAACATGCACCCTTGCACACCAAACAATGCTCTCTACAAAGCCGACGTTCCAAACAAGTGGCCTCATGCTGACCCGGTCTCGATATGTTTCTAACATTTATATATACTGTAATACATATATATATATATGTATTGGAACGTCTTCTTGTTTTTGTTTTGAACGTATCGAAAACAATTATATCATGTACTCTTGTATATGACGCCGGTATCCAAGGTCCTGCATTTTGCAGCACGTGCAGGTGCAACTGAAACTTTGGCAGTTTGCTCAGAGGTCATGGATTTCTTGGAGTGACATTTCATGGCACCTGTGAACCGTTTAGTGGTGGAAAGCTGCCCATTGTCAGACTCTATAACCCCATCAGCTGCGCAGACCCCACGCATGGATGTTTGGCAATGGACTTCAAACAGAGACAGGCTTTGCTGCTAAAGCGATGGATGGCAGATGAGAAAATTACTTCGCAAGGCCGCTGTGAGAGATTTGTAGTTCTTCGAAAGGCCAACCCTCGAATCTGCCCCAATTTGCAGCTGGAGATCCTAACCAAATCATGGCACCACGCACCCCACCGCACATATTATTATTCTTTGTGTGAGATGCTTGAGCAGGCAGACTTCCTTTGCACAGAGTCAACAGCAAACTAACCAACATGCTTCAGTTGCTGTGACTTTGCATCAGTTTGCTAAGCAAGAACTCATATGATGCATGTTATGCTACATATGCTTTGATGCACTACAAACACGTTTTATGTTCTAAAAAACGTTGAAACAGGCCAAAAGAAAAACACACCAAGTGTAATTGTTGCCACAAGGGTATGGCAAACGAAGTTTGGAACGTAGACAACTCCACGGGATTTGACAGCAGGTTCACGGGTCTATGGAGGTCCATTGGATTGGCGAGATCGATGGCACCGTACTCCCCTTCATTGGGCTGTGCCAACCACAAGGGAGACTGGGAAGGAAGCGCAGTGTCGGAGCGGTGGTTGTTCCCCGTTTTTCCAATCACTTCGACTGATTCGTTTGATTCATCCGAACAGGTTCAGCTGACAATCCTCTCATGTTCAGCTTTGAACACCAGGGCAAAGATGACTGGTGATGCAGATATGTTTCAGGTGGGAAAGGATCACTGCTGATTATAGATTATGACATGATCCATTCGTGAAGTATAACAAGATGCATTTCCCGGCATCCCTCGCCTTTTGCGCCCAGGTGTTGAACGGACACGTAGCCGCCTCCAAGGCCGGCCGGGAAAGCCTGACATGGCCAAATCATTTCTTGCTACTCGTGGCTCATGGAGTTTGATTCGAGTTCCGTGGGACTTGTGGGACTTCAGCAATATGACACTTGCAATATTGCAATCTTTCAATTCAACCTGAAAGTAATGAGACGGTATGAGTGTTTGGATAGGTGCGATAGTAGTGGGGAAGTATTCACCTGAAGAAGTACAGCAATAATTGTGAGAGGGATAGAAGTCCTGCATTAGAGAAGTTGCCCTTCTATATGCCAGTTGCTCAGCTGCGACAAAGCTGGTTTGCATTCAGCCAGATTTCCCATGGCGGAAGTGTGAACTCTGTTTGTTAAATTGTAGCTTTTTTTGATTTTCCTTGGAATCTCAGAAATACAAACCACCCTCTTTTCTATTCCAAGAACTGATATCGCAAAAAACCAAATGCATGGTCTCATGCTTGCGCACGCTGCGTCATGGTTGCGGTGGTGTAGGATTCTTGGAGCTGAGCCCCTGCCACAGGCCTTGCTGTCTGCGCGAGCCAATGCAGATCCACCGAAGGTGTTTCTTCTTTTTTTTTGGGGGCGGGGTGAGTGGACCCAACACTTTCATGAGAGAGGAGAGGAGAGGAGCCACATTTTAAGGCAATCCAAAAAGGTTTGGACGGGACTCAATCTCAGGTTTTCAGGCTTTCCGGGCGGCTGACGGTGACCTTTCGGTGACGGCGGCAGCCGCCCGGCAGCCGCACGACCGACTGCCTTGTGATGGTTTGTGTGGCCTTATGGCTGCATGAATGTGAAAATGGCAGAAGGTGATTGCCAAATGCAAAACCTCTCAATTTTTGTTCGTTGGGTTTATTGCTGTGGACATTCTTCCTCCATGCAAACCGGTGCAAAGTGGATCGGTGATATAACTGATGGGCCTCAAAATCCTTTGGCAGCAGTCAATGCCACAGGTTCGTGCATATCGTCATGAACGAAGCACTACTTTGAGGCCGCGGGGGTGCTTGTCGTACTTGGCACTTGGCTGTGCAACTGCAACAGGAAACAACAATTGATTCTATTTGAATCAGCTCGGGACAGTTTTCGACTGGTGGCTCCAATGCTTTGTACTTTGCTGCGGGAGCTGAAGCTGGCATTCTTTGACAAAATGGTTTTACAGCAAAAGTCTTTACCTAACCTAACCATTGGCCATGCACTGACAACCATTGCAGGGCATAGAACATCATAGAAGATGTCCTACCCGACATCACTTCCTTCGAGAAACAGGCCCAATGCAGATGTCACTTCAGCTTATGAATGATCAATCAAACGATGAAGAAAACAGATTCGTTGAATTAAATTACAACCGAGAAGCTATCAAAACCTCAAGCTCCTTTGTTGAAAGGTTCTCCTCACCGGGTCCGTGTTCTTTTATCCACGGCCACCAACACATGGGGGTTGTGCTTGTTTGGGCCACACGCCCCTTAGCCCCCCATTGTCCACAAAGATTTGAGTTAGATTCAATCATTGGAACAGTACCCCAATCATTCAGAATTGATTCAGACTTGATGCCAGGTTAGTGTGGACTTCTTATGGGACCCGTGTGAGTGGAGCACGTCTATGTAGGATTAATTCCCAAACGCACTTTTAAGCATTTGGGACAATTAAAAAACTAGGAATGCAGAGGAAAATTGGAGAACACGTTTTCTCTTTGTTCTGAGATGCTTTAAAGTATGTGGGGATTACATGGGATTACACACTTGCTAGAAGTGACTGAACATTCAAGACCGATTTGCAGGCATTTGATGTCTTGCCATCTCAATCGATTTAGATTCAGAAGGTTTGGATCTAGATTACTTCACCCACTGGCCGGCAATCTCATGCTGTTTTACAGTAGGCATTCCTGTCTTTTCTAGCTTTTCCCATTCAAAACAGTATTGCTTGTCCCCTTGAGTATTTTTCTCGTGAGTTTGCTTTCCCCACTCCTACTTCCTTTTTTGCCTACCACTCGTTGGCAACTTTTCGATTCGAACAAAGAACATCATGATGATGCAAATATATATATATATATATGGGCGCGCGTGCTTTTCGGGGCCCCCTGAGAAGTAATGGATAAGATATAATACCATGAAACGCGCCCATATATATATATATGGATATATATATATATATGCATATACTTCCACAAAAACATTGCACATAGACTGCATGAAATCTTTCATACGCCATACGCCCAGGTTCATGCCAGAGGAGGTTCATGCTATCTACAAGCGCAAAGCTGCATTGACATTCTGCATGGCGGATTTAATCATTTGCAGACAACCGCCCATGTCTTCAAGGTGGTGCACTTCTTGTAAGTTCTTCAGATGTGTCAATGCAGCCTGCAGTTCTACCTTGCGCTTGACGAGACCACTGGCCAGAAATGCCAGGAGCTAAATTCAAGCTTCTTTGGACATAGTGAATATGCGCTTGAATCTGTCTCGGTGTTCGTTGTTGTTTTGACTCACACGCTGCTTTGCGGCCACTGACGATGTCCTGGTGGAGTTCATGTGCGTTGGGCACAGGCACTGACGGCTCAGCATCAGTAGTTGGGTCTGGGCGGTAGATGACAGGGTCCACCGTCTGCAGATCCAACGAAAACCGCCCAGGTTCTACTTCAGAACCCATAGCCACAAACATCACCTTCTTGGGCGCCATGATGACACTGATACAGACTTGAGCTGGAGCCAGTCACTATCAAGGTAACTTCATCAATGAAGAAGTGGTGTGTTTATAAACAGTAGTCAGTGTTTATAAACATGCAAACTGCCAAAGTAAACAAGAGTAATCAAATACAGATACCACCTGCAAAAAGCTATATGCTTGTTGTCAAATGACATTGAAGTAATCATGCAAGCAAACACATACAGAAACCACTACAAGAACATACCTTGCAGATGCAGACGCTAAAGACTGCAGGTAGATGAGCATATTTTGGTGATGCCTCACTCATCACTGAACGAATAGCAGCCACATCCACATCAGACACATTGCGGATGACCTGAAAGAACTCCTTGAAGGACTTTTTTGGATTTGGGCTCCACTTTGATCAGAGGTAGTTGATCAATGGACACTGTGCCATCCGAAACTTTTGTGTGCTTGTGTGTTTGCATGTACTTCATATATGCGTTGTTACCTTCCATCATGGCAGCTTCCATGGCACAAGATTGGAGGTAAGAAGCAGTTGCTGACAAACTAGTTCGAGCAAATATACTGAAGAAACCAATGTTTATAAACAACCATTTTGTTTATAAACAACTCCTTTCTTCAGCTGGGGGAGGGGGGGGGGG